CGATATACTAATTATATAATTTTAACATCAAGTAATTAAAACTGTTTTAACTAATATCCCGGAATTAGAAAAGTACGATTAAGTTGTATTTAAAGATATACTATATATTAATTTTAACATCAGTAATTAAAACTGTTTAACTAATATCCCGGATTTAGAAAAGTACGATAAGTTGTATTTAAAGATATACATATATTAATTTTCAGCATCCAGTAATTAAATTTATCAATTTTAATATGGGTATAACATTAATAAAAACTTCTGATTTTTACAATTTCTCTAGATTTTTAAGTGTATTGTCATTTTAATTCTGTTTCAATAGCGTTTACACACAGAGTTTAGTACAGGTTTAGAAACAGACAGAAAAAGCAGCTCAGCAAACCAAGAAACTAACTAGTTTACTAGATACTTTATAATATAAGTTTTACATGAGAAATGAAAGTTAGCACTTAGAATTAATTTTAACATTATGGCGATAACTGAGCCTAAACTCAAATGAAGAAATATTTCTGAAATATATATATCTGTCATTATAGAATGTTCAAGTTATTCTATTTGAATAAAAAGTTTACTGTGCCATTCGTCAAACGCCAAAATTCGTAAGTAAAAACAAACTATTAAATTCTATCACTTTAAGTATTACATTATAATATGTTAATTTAAATATCCTACATACACATTTACTTTTACGTTAACATTGATCTTCCGGTATATCTGTAATAAGTCATGTTTTAATAATATCAATATTTGCTTGTTATGAAATAAATACCGTCAATGGAAAATAAACAATTACTTTTTTATACTTTTGAAGTATTGTCTGATTTACCTGTTGGATGTATTTCTACGAATTATAATGGACTTGATATTTGAATGCCTTTGAATAGTTCCCTGGTGGGTCAGCGGTAAGTTTACGGACTTGCAACGTGAAGTTCCCGCGGTGGACACAGCAGATAGTTCAGTGTGGCTTTCCTTTAAAACAAACAACAAAAAAAAGACTTTAAATAGGAAGGTGACTATTCGATTGTGTGTATGTGTCCGTGTTTTTCCTGTTAATATAACTTTTAAGAACTTTGGAAAGTAGTATCTTTTTAGTCTGCGTACCTGTTATGGTGCATTAAAATGGACACAATTGCCGAATATACTTATTTGCC